CTTAGTATAGATACATTCTTTCGAATGTTTAGCAACAATATTGCGAAACAATATTGGTGGGAACGCAGAGCCGTATTTGTGGTACCGCATACGGACGAGGTGCTCACTGACTAACTTTCAAATGATTAGTATAAAAGACGCATTGGTAGTCATTGCGGGCAGCGGCTGGGTTAGCGTGTCGTCGCATGCATGTTGTGCGTGTGAGGGGTTTTCTGCGTTGAAATTTATTGTTTGCGTTAAATGTATAATACGTGTGCAAATGTGAAATAAATGCTGCGCAAATGTGAATGGAAGCATCGTGGAAAAAAAGTCCCGTGGCAATAATTTTTTGTCACTTTTGAATTGGACGTTGACTTGCGCCGCTTTGGTCTTGTGATGGCTAGTACTAGTTACTAGCTAAAGGTAGTAAAATATACTAGTTTGGTTAGTAACCGTTGCTCTAGTCGGTGCCCTAGGTTAAGAGTTCAGGGCACGGAGAAGGAAGGCAGGGGAGGAGAAAGCAGATGGATTGCCGGAGAGGAGGAAACATCCGAGCATTCCGCCTGCTTCCTCCTCCCCAGCCTTCCTTTCCCTCGCCCTGAACTCTTAACCTGCCACCGATTATAGCTTCTTGACCTAATAACCGTTACTGGCTTGTCCGTTAATACCTACGGTTGTTATGTGCCTACTAACATACGTGACAAGCGGTTACTAGCATTTACCTTGTATGCAGTACTACCTTTCTTTTTCCTCAAAAGTACCCTTTAACTAAAACGTCTTTCGAGTGAGTTGCGCAGTTACGTCACTGTTCTATCTTACGTATTGTCGACTTTTGGAAATCCGGCTACAGTGGAGCACCGCACCCGCTTAGAATCGTTGAAGGTCGTGGCGAGCGGTCGATACAAGAGACGCCACCGGAAAGATGGCGAAGGTAGCGGTGGAGAGAAAATGGTTTGGTCGACTTTCGATAGATGGCGTCACGAAAACTTGCGTACTCCGAATGTTGTCACACCGTAGTTCCGATGACCGCCACACGCGGCGGCAGATCGAGAAAAAACACGGGTTTTCCTTCGAGGTATTACGCAGCGGATTCGCAATAATTCGGGGGTAAGGCGGTGCTTTTTCTCTCGCTTTTGCTAAGATATGCAAGATAAAAGTCTAGAGCCGCGTCCATTAACTGAAAGTACCAAAGTTGCTCGTCTTGTCATGTTTCACAACATGTACCATTCTTCCTTTCGCGACAATGACTGTCATTCGCCATCTGACATTAATTTACGTCATGATCACAACCTGAAAGGTAAACCCTGTATTCGCGAAAACGAGTAGATTTCAAAATTCCCCGCTTTCAGCTATCCCTAACTAAAATTCTCTTCCGAAAAGAAAAAAAATAATCGTTACTTTACATTAAAAAAAAAAGAAAAAAAAAAAAAAGAAAAGAGAAAGCCGGAACGACGGACGAAGAGGAAGACAAACACAAAACGTCTCAGACGTTTTTTGTTGGTGTCCTTCACACAAAGGTCTTACGGCGTTTTGTGTTTGGAGGCGAGATAGAACACAAACGTTTTGAGACTTTTGTCCATTTCTTCGTCCGTCGTCTCGGCTTTTTCTTTTTTTTTTTTTTTTATAAGTAACATTAACTAGCCTGTTTGTTTACTGACTCTGAATTTATTGATATTTGCGAAGCACACATCACGAGTGTTTCGCATTAGTCAAAAGCTTTATTGAATATCACTCGCCCCCCCCTTTTACGTGCGTTATTATAAGACCTGTGCAACATGTCTCTCGTTCATCATTAATAAAACTGTTATTGGGCAACCTTCACGCATGTGCTTATAATATCGAATCGAGGTG